TTCTTCTTCTCCTCTGGTAACGGCGTCAAAACGTCCGCGTGGGTCACACAGGCAGGAAAGAAACAACCAGCTCTGCTTAGTGAAGGGCTTGGGAAGCAGCGTCCGAAGTTGAACCACGTTGGACAAGCACGGGACGGAGCGGGGAGTGGGAGCTGAAACCATTGACCGCCTTCCCCTCCCCAATTAAAGTGTCTCTCTGGCTCTGCCCTCCCAACCTGGCTGCTGACACTTCCAGTGGGACAAACTGCCAAGGAGGGGCTGCCAGACGAAAGCAACCTCGCAGCAGAGAAGACACGTGGGCTGAGGCAGTCATGCTGTTAAGCTCTTCTGATCATCCCACCCTCCCCTGGGACTCCGTAACCCCCTGATGGGAGAGCCCCCGGGCCAAAGCGCCGGTGGGGTGCGGGAGGGGTTTCTGTACCTCTGTTGCTGAGCCGCTTGGCGAGGAGGGCGATGAGCGTCCCCGAGAGCACGATGCCAGCTACGGCCAGAGCTGTGCCGCTGCTGTAAGCCAGGACTTGCTTTAAGAAGGGGGCAGCGTCCTCTGGAACAGATCCGCAGACCCACGGGTTAGAGAGTTGTCAGAGGGGCTTCACAGAATCACAGAATGTTCGGGGTTGGAAGGGACCTCTGTGGGTCATCTAGTCCAACCCCCTGCCAAAGCAAGGTCACCCAAAGCAGGCTGCACAGGACCGCGTCCAGGTGGGTCTTGAATATCTCCAGAGAAGGAGACTCTACAGCCTCCCTGGGCAGCCCGTGCCAGGGCTCCGTCACCCTCAGAGGGAAGAAGTTCTTCCTCATGTTCAGACGGAACTTCCTCTGCTTCAGTTTGTGCCCATTGCCCCTTGTCCTGTCGCTGGACACCACTGAAAAGAGTCTGGCCCCATCCTCCTGACGCCCAGCCTTCAGATATTTGTAAGCATTTATAAGGTCCCCTCTCAGCCTTCACTGCTTCAGGCTGAACAAGCCCAGTTCCCTCAGTCTTTCCTCGTAGGTGGACCTTGAAGGTAGACACCCCCTCTGGTGCTAGAGGAGCAGGGGGTCCCACTGTACCTGCGCAGACAGGGGGATGCCTGGTCCAGTTCCCTGTGGCTGCACACCAGAGCACCTCTGCTCCCATCCGAACAAACCCCTCCTCGCAGGAAAAGGCGCACGTGGAGTTGTACGTGAAGTTCCCGTGCTCGTGAGAGCAGCTCAGCTGGCCTTTGCTGGGGGTGGCCAGCACTGGGCAGCTGACGGCTGGAGATAAAGCACAGCGGTAGCGTCAGTAGGACAGGGCTGATGGTGGTGGGATGGGGACACAGGGGATGGGGAGCCAGGGGATGAGCTGCCATGGACCAGGGGTGCTAAGGGGAAAGGGATGCTGGGGAAAGCAGGCTGCTACAACACAGCAGTTTCAGACGTGTGTGATCATGAGATCTACCTTCACAGTGCGGGGCATGCCCCGTCCAGGTCCCTGTGGCCATGCATTCGCGGGTCTCTGGCCCCATCAGCACAAACCCTGTCTGGCAGGAGAAGGCACAGGTGGATCCGAAGGCAAAGTCCCCATGGAGGTGGGAGCAGGCAGCATGGCCCATCTTGGGGGTGGCCAGCGCTGAGCATGTGATGGCTGCAAGGGCGAAGAGGCACGTTTCAAGCAGGACCCTGGGAGACTGACCTTCTGGGACCAAGAGGCTGGGGAACATCCTAGTGTCACCCCAAGGCCAGTGACACCCTGAGCTCTAGCAGCAGCGCTACCTTCACAGCGGGGGAAGTCCCCGGTCCAGGTCCCTGTGGCCGTGCACTCGCGGGTCTCCGACCCCGTCAGCACAAACCCCGTCTGGCAGGAGAAGGCACAGGTGGAGCTGAAGGCGAAGTCCCCGTGGAGGTGGGAGCAGTTCAGCTCTCCCCAGTTTGGAGCACTGAGCACAGGGCAGGTGATGGCTGCAGGGTGAAGAGGCACACTTCAAGCAGGAGCCTGGGCACTAGGAGACTGAACTGCTGGGACCAGGAGGCTGGGGAACATCCTAGTGTCACCTCAAGGCCAGTGACACCCTGAGCTCTAGCAGCAGCGCTACCTTCACAGCTTGGGGCATCCCCGGTCCAGGTTCCTGTGGCCGTGCATTTGCGGGTCTCCGACCCCGTCAGCACAAACCCCTTCTGGCAGGAGAAGGCACACGTGGAGCCAAAGGTGAAGTCCCCATGGAGGTGGGAGCAGTTCAGGTCTCCCCAGTCTGGAGCTCTGAGAACTGGGCAGGTGGTGGCTGCAGAGGTACAGACACACTCCAAGCAGGAGCCTGTGGACTGCAAGGCTGAACTGCTGGGACCAAGAGGCTGGGGTGTCACTAGGATGTTCCCCAAGATCAGTGACACTCTGAGATCTAGCAGGAGTGCTACCTTCACAGCGTGAGACGTCCCCGGTCCAGGTCCCTGTGGCCGTGCACTCGCGGGTCTCTGACCCCATCAGTGCAAACCCCATCTGGCAGGAGAAGGCACAGGTGGAGCTGAAGGCAAAGACCCCATGGAGGTGGGAGCAGTTCAGGTCTCCCCGGTCTGGAGCACTGAGCACTGGGCAGGTGATGGCTGCAGGGACAGAGGTACACTTCAAGCAGGAGCCTGGGGACTACAAGGCTAAACTGTTGGGATGAGAGGACCAAGACACTCAAGAAAATACTAGGGTCACCCCGAGGTCAGTGACACCCTGAGCTCTAGCAGCAGCTTTACCTTCACAGCTTGGGGCATCTCCTGTCCAGGTCCCTGTGGCTGTGCACTCGCGGGTCTCCGACCCCGTCAGCACAAACCCCATCTGGCAGGAGAAGACACACATGGAGCCGAAGGTGAAATCCACGTAGAGGTGGGAGCAGTTCAGGTCTCCCCGGTCTGGAGCACTGAGCACTGGGCAGGTGATGGCTGCAGGGACAGAGGTACACTTCAAGCAGGAGCCTGGGGACTACAAGGCTAAACTGTTGGGATGAGAGGACCAAGACACTCAAGAAAATACTAGGGTCACCCCGAGGTCAGTGACACCCTGAGCTCTAGCAGCAGCTTTACCTTCACAGCTTGGGGCATCTCCTGTCCAGGTCCCTGTGGCTGTGCACTCGCGGGTCTCCGACCCCGTCAGCACAAACCCCGTCTGGCAGGAGAAGGCACAGGTGGAGCTGAAGGCAAAGACCCCATGGAGGTGGGAGCAGTTCAGGTCTCCCCGGTCTGGAGCACTGAGCACTGGGCAGGTGATGGCTGCAGGGACAGAGGTACACTTCAAGCAGGAGCCTGGGGACTACAAGGCTAAACTGTTGGGATGAGAGGACCAAGACACTTGAGAACATCCTAGGGTCAGCCCAAGGCCTGTGAGACCTTGAGCAGCAGCTCTACCTTCACAGCGTGGGGCGTCTCCTGTCCAGGTCCCTGTGGCCGTGCACTCGCGGGTCTCTGACCCCTTCAGCACAAACCCCGTCTGGCAGGAGAAGGCACATGTGGATCTGAAGGCGAAGTCCCCGTGGAGGTGGGAGCAGTTCAGCTCTCCCCAGTCTGGAGCTCTGAGGACTGGGCATGTGATGGCTGCAATAGGAGAGGAGGTCTCAGAGACGGGATGGATGAGGTTACATCTAGGGATTAGGGCTGAATCCCAAGCAAATAAAACCAAATCTATGGGGATATGTCTTTGATTTACCTTTCTCACCCAGACAAGTCTTGCTTCTTCAAAAACAGTAATAACATGTTTGGTAAAATGACTTTCTGCCATACAAGTGAGTTCTTGGGGGTACAGGGGGAGGCAGTTTCTGCTCTGCCAGAGCCCTGTTTGTCCCCTGCGCTACTGTGGGTCGCAGCCCCCGGGACGAGGGACCTGGCTGCTGCAGCCTGACTTGCCCGCCTCCCTGGAGGGGAGCGGAGACCTGCCTCCAGCCTTGTCACAGCGGCATGGAGAAGGACATCCAGACGGCTTTGAGCTGTAGGGGACTGGGGTGGGATGACGGCAATAGCTACGGGGGTTGCGTACCAGCCTCCCCGGGCTGTGCCTGGCCTGCTTCGCTGCATGCCGGGGCAGCACCCAACATTTTCTGGGAAAGGGGCTCCGCTGCCTATGGGACCACTGCAGGCTGGTGCCAGGAGGACATCTAACACCACCGGCACCCAGCCCGGGTGAGGCAGACCCCATTCCCTGCGCCTTCTGCTTTCAGACTGACACCAAACCTTTCCTTGGTAGACTTTTCCTTTCAAGCTATTTTACAGGCAAGCCTGGTTTCCCACAGAATCCTCGGAGGTGTCTATGGGGGCCCCAAAACCCAGTGCTGAGGCACCCCCAGCTCTACCTTCACAGCGCCAGGGGGGGCCATCCAGAGACCTCCGGCCGTGCACCGCAGCCTTCACGCTCCCGTCGCCTCAAGCCCCTCTGGGCAGGAGAAATCACACGTGGTGTTGAAGGCGAACGCACCATGCAGGTGGGGAGCAATGGACACGGCCCCCTTCGGGGACAGCCAGCTGGGGACACGATGGCAGCAGGCAGGCGCAGGGCAGGGCAGGCAGCCCTGTCCCTTGCGGTGCCTGCAGCACCATCAGCCTCACCGCAGCAGGAGCCTCTGCTCCCTTTTGGAGTAAACCCAGCTGGCAATGCTTACTAACGCAGCTTCGTTATCAGCAAGGGCGACCGACTGACTCATCTGATTCTTTGCAATAAAGAAGAATCAATCATACGTGCAGGCAGCAGGAAAAAACAATGAGCTGGGAAAGCAAGCCTTGGGGACCTGGAAAAGCCTGGCTCAGCCCAGCTTGCCTAGGGGAACTTCCACAAAGTTGGGAGCCAGCTCCTGACCCTGCCACCGCTGGGAACGCTGGCCACGGGACAGGCACATCACATCTCTGTGCCTGTTCTCCTGAACTGCAGGAAGTTTTGCTGGTCTCAGCTGCCTGAAACAAGCCCTGGGTTGGACCACAGGCCGACCCAGTACAGGCGTCATTGGCAGCACTAACTTCAAGGCAGGCTTTTTTGTTTTTTTTTTAATATTATGTACAGAGATCCTGCCCACCCCCTGACCCCTCCTGCTAGGTCTCCCAATCCAGAGGGTCCCCATTTGTGTCCTGTGTCTGCCTCGGTCCTCGAGTCATCCCATCCTTGTGCAAGGCTGCAGATGCACCACACAGCAGCACAGGGAAGGTGGAGCAGGGCTCTCGCAACCCCCAAAAAAGGCTCTTGCAACCCCAAAAACCCCCCTCTGGGGTGCCTGGGTGAAAACCCTCCAGCCACCGATGGGAAGACTTTCCCTGCCCCTGCAGCTTGACGTACCGCAGCTTTCTCTCCTTTGTGGCTTCCTGCCCTGCTCTGTCCCTCCCAGCTTATATCTAACCTCATCTCACTGGTCCTCGCCCCGCTTGCGGTGGCCCAGCCCTGCCAGGATACACCCTTCCCCTGGCCACAGGACCACAGCCCCCTTCACTCTTCTCTGAGGACCCCCAAGATGCTGAGCACCTTCCCAAGGCAGATGGGGGTGGGCTTGGGGAGCCGGAGCCGGTGCCACCGGGGTGATGGAAGTGCCCAGACGCTGTCCTGCCCCAGTGCTCAGTGCGCTCAGGATGCTGGTGCCTGGCTGGGATTCAGGACAGCGAGCAAGGGCACCAGGACAGCAGGGGAGGGCAGGGGGCTTATCCGGATCTCACAGCCGCTCTGCCCATTGCAGCCTCGTTGAGAACCGCTCCCTACATGCAGCACCAGGAGCCGCTTCCCGAAGGGCAGGGGCATGGCAAGCCCAGCCCGTTGTGTGCCTGAGCAGCGTTGGGCACGCAGGGCTGGCCCCCCCGAAGCATCAATGCCGCGTCCCTGAGACCCCCAGCCCCTGGCAGGCCCTACCTGTGCAGGTGGGGGTCTCTGCTGACCACTGCTGGGAAGCGAGGCACCGCAGCGTGCCTGCCCCTCGCTGCTCGAACCCCTCCTGGCACCGGAACGCGCAGGTGGAGTTGTAGCTGAAGTCTCCGAAGGGATGGCTGCAGTTCATGCGCGCTCCCTTCGGCTCGAGCTCAGCGCACTGCACAACTGGGAGAGACACAGTGCCACTGGCTCGTTAGGAGCATAACGAACCTGCCTGCTTTGCCGCCGGGCCTCAGGCTCTCCAGCAAGGAGGGAGGAACGGGGATGGGTGGCTCACCATGCTCGCACTCGGGGCCATGGAAGCCGGGGTAGCACTCGCAGCGGTAGCTCCCGATGGTCTCCACGCACTCGCCGCGCTGGCTGCATGGCAAGGGCTGGCAGGAGGCTGTGCACACAGAGTACGGTCGTGAGGAGCTGCCGGCCACCCTGCCGAGGTCCCCAGCCTGCCCGACCCGGGTCCGTGCTGCAGTCCCCCCGCTCACCCTGGTAGCACAGCGCCTTTTTCTTCCGGCTGCAGGGCGGTTGTTGGGCTCCCCGGCTGCCCAGTTCTCCGCCTCCTTCGTCAATGCCTTCCTGGTGCCCACCCAGGTCCAGATGCCACCCAGTTTGCGGATGCCGATCCAGTAGTAGCGCCCATGGAAGGGCAGGCTCTTGTTGAGGTACTCGATCTCCTGCTTGTTCTGGATTGCCACCAGGTCGGTAAAGAAGGTCTGGCAGTAGTTCCTGGCCTGCTCCCACATGTAGTCCCCTTGGTCACTGTAGTGGTACGTCCAGGCACCCACCTCCACCCGTATCACCGTGCCTGTGAGAGAGCATGAGGTCCGGGATAGACGCAGAAAGGATGGGAGCCAGCTTTGGGATGGGGTCCCTTGGGACACGAGGGTGGGCTAGGGCTGGCATCGGGGCCAAGAGATGCCAGTGATCAGATGGGTGAGAGGATGGCACGAAGGGATAAGCATGGGTGAGAACGGAGCTCTAAGGGTACACAGAGACCTGGGTGGATCAGGCGTGGCAGAAAGAGCTGAGGTGGGACGGAGGTGGATGGCACAGGGATGGGGAAGGTGGGCGAGGTGGGGTGAAGGCTGAGACAGAGGGATGGGGTGGGCACAGCGCAGGTGGCAGAAGAGCCCTGAGCAGTGATGCCAATCCCCCCTCCAGCACAAGGGGTGCAAACCCAGCCCCACAGCCCTGCTCCTGTGGCCACAAAGGCTTCTCAAAGGGGAAAACCCAACATCAAGATGGTTCCTTAAACATGGTTCCTTCCTCGAGTGCAGAAGTGTACTACTTCGGTGTTCTTGCTTTACACTTCTACATGAGAGTCAGCTTGGAGCAAGGCAGACCAACGAGCATGCCCTCACCCCCAAAAGCATTTGGATCCTGAGCCACTCATCTGATCCAGACGTGGTCTGAGGAGTCTTGTAAAATTCAGTATTGCAAAACAACATCTTGCAAAAGTAAAGTTCACATCCTGGTCGTGCCCACCAGACAGGGCAGAGCCAGAGGTTAACTGGAACCCACACCCAAAGTGAAGGGCACTTTGATGAAACCCTGCTCTTATTTACAGCACTTCGTACCACAACTTGATGCAATCAAAGGGTTTTAGCCACAAAAAAAAAAAAAGCTTCCTCCCTCCTCCCCAGAAGCAGGCATCTCCACAAATGCAGAAAGCAATATGGGGATCATATCTCCATCTGTGCAGAAAGAGAGATGGGGATCAAAGTTTTCTCCAAGCAGCCAGCCTGGGGTACCCTGTGTCTCGGAATAGGGTATCACACTGTGGCATGCAGGCAAAGGTCTGGGCATCACAAATTAGATGCAAATCTAGGGCTTCCCAGGTCTAATTAGGGCTCTAGTTTGGTCAATCATTATGCATTTTTCGAAGAAATGTTCCCACAATCTGTCTGTTTTTTCTTGCGAAAGAGGAAGCTATCCACTTTGTTCAACAAAGCTAAAGCTGAGGAAAATGTGGCCTTCGACAACAGCCTTCCTCTTCACCCCTTGGGAGTTTGAGGCTGCAGGACAGAAGCTCAGGGCAGCTCCTGGGAGCCTGCCCCATCCTCAGCTCCCACCCCCCACCTCCTGGCCCTCGCTACCCCCCAGTACAGCTCAGGGCAGCCGCCCTGCTTCCCTCACACACCCCATCCCAAACCGAGAGGAACTGAGGGAGCCCATCTGCTACGTGCCCATCCTCTGCAAGCTCTCCTGCCTCCTTCCTCCAGCTCCACCAGCGACACCCTCTCTGTAGCACAGCTCATCCCCACTCCTTCCCTGCAGCCTCACGTTACTTCTCCCTGAGGCTGCACCCTTGAGTGGGTGCTGTTTGCCTGCGTTTTGACGCCTCAGCTCCTCTAGCAGCCCCAAACGCCTCCCCCCAGGGCAGCACTCAGCATCCACCACACTGGGGATGCCTTTGCATTTTTGTTTTCCTCTCAGAGCTAAATCTCAGCCTCCTGCTGACACTTCTGCATTTGCCTCTGTTACTTAGCTCAAGCACGAAAGGTCCTTTGCAAAAGAGCTCAGCTCATGGAGGATCCCTAGGGACAGAGCAGGCACTGGCAGGTTTTGCTCTGTGCAATGCCAACATGTGAAGCAAATACCCTGCAGGAAGCAAAGCCAAATGCGTTCCTACTCTGATTTCTTCTCCTGATGTCAATTAGCAGCTTTAACTCTGCGGTGCTGCCCCAGCTGTGCTCCCAACCCTTGCACCTGTGTGTCTTGTGGCTATGCTCGTGCCCAGCTCCACAGCACAGGCATGGGCGCAGAGCTGCTACAGCCTTTCTCCAGTTCACGGTACAATGCACGAGCTGCCATGCTGCTTTTGGGGTACCAGACACCCTGCGGGGACCCCGCTCGTGGCCTGGCCCTCCCCAGGGGAGCACGGTCCTGCGACGGGATCACATTGCTGCTCTTCTCTGGTTTCCCAGACCTGCAGGCTCCTCTCCAGCAGGGTGACGCTGGGCTTGCAGAGCAGGCGGCGGGCGGCTTACCCCATGCGATGGCAGCGATGCCCAGGTAGCAGATGCCACGGGCGCCCAGAGCCCACGTCCTCCCAGCAGACTGCAGTCCTGCAGCAGTGCCCTGTGTGCCAGGGAGAGATGTGTGAGCACCCACGTCCCACGGGGACTCACGCAGCCCACCACGCACCCTCGCTGCTGCCAGGTGGTCCTGGTAGCCCCAGGGACACGTTGCTTGTGCCAGCTCACACTCTGGCACACGTGGTGCTGCTGGCCAGGTACAGGCTCTGCTGCAGAAAGGGTCCCTCCAGCAAGGTGCTTTGGGGGGGCTGTGCCAGCAGCGCAGCTCACTCCTGAGGAGCCCCTAAGCCCAGCCCTGGGCCCCCACCCCTCTCCCCCCACCTACAGCTGGCAGCTGCCTCCGCAGCGGCAGTGCCCTGTGCGCCTGGCATGGCCTCGCTGCCCGCGGCAGGGGCTCTCCCGGTCCAGCCGGGTCCAACCCGCAGGGCACC